TGAAGTGTTATTTTTTAAATAGGAATATCTAAAAACTGACTTCAGATACGGAAGAGATTATGAATCAAAAGTTCAAAATTTTCATGATTTATAAAAAAAAAGTCTTGGTTATTAAAAAGACTAAAAAACTATTATTGTTTTGTTGTGTAATCATCGAATATCACCACCGAAAAAACTGAAGTATAAACATGAAAGCATGTCAAAGAAGAGCGCGTGGGGGAAATTGTGAACCAGTTGAAATTTTAAAATGACGTCATTCATCATCATAATGTGATTTGGATAGAAGTGGTCTCAAAAAGACTGAGGCACATATTCTTCTTCAACGTGATTCTAGCTTTACACGTACAACCTTTTCATCTATCGATACTTATAAATTAAACTATAAAATATCTTAAGCTCAATAACTACAAGTTTCGTTATTATTTATGAATGGTAACATTATAATGCTGTGTTATAATTTATACCACATTTTATATAATTAATAAGTGAAATAATATTACCAAATACATGTATGTATTATTTTGTTATTATTCCGACCGTTCCACATTCCGCATTGCACTATCATTATTTAAAGCTAATTAAATATTTTTGTTCTAATTAATTAAATGATTTTGATAGCAAAATAGGAGATATATAGAAATTCGTATAGGGTTTGACAAAAAAAATGTTTTAGCAACATGTTTATATGTAATTTACAATATTCTAAAATTGTGGGGTATGTGGACAAGTTTAAAAAAAAAGTTTGGCTACATATATCAAGAGAAATTGGTAAAAATAACACAAAAAATTATAATCTAAAAACTAAGCAAAACTTTCACATCCAATGGATTTTACCACATACCTCATTTTTACTTACTTTTTAATTATTATTTTTTTTTTGGTTATATCTATCATCAATGTACATTTAAATTTTTCATAACTCATTTTGACACAATTTGAGAGTTAATCGTGCTTGACATATTTTGACATCTAACCACGGTTTTAACTCATGACATCATCCATGACAAGACAAAGAGTCTACATGGGAAAGACCATCGACGATGATGAAGGAGCCGTTGGGTGCATTATCTCCTCAAAATACTTTTACGTATTCTTTTTCAAAAAAATAAAAAAAAATATACTTTTACGTATTTTTGTTCTTCACAAATATTGTACTACAAATATTCACAATGTATCATTTGTTATCGTTGCAGGTCAAACATGTTTAAAAGGGAAATTTTCTTATAATAATTTATGAAAACGATTAATCTATTTTGATGATTTAAATAGCTAAATCAATCTTCTTTAGAAAATTTCCTTCACCACTATATTTTTATAAATTTGGATATTAAAATTTTCGTTTCGAAATTCAACCACAAACTTCATAATTTCAATTCACAAATATGCATACAACTTATGCTTGTACTCTGCCAAAAAATAGTATTTTTAATTTGTTTCCGGATGATTTAGTTGTTTATAAAAACATCTTTCAAAATATCAGGTTGCTTCATTATAACTTGAAGTTAATTAGTATATAGAAGCATGGAAACACTATTGGTTTAGTTATTGTCTCTTACGCATAAATAATCGGGAAAAGGAAACAATTCGTTTATCTTTGCAGATTAATATAATAATCATTCATTAAACTATAGTTTTGGTTACTAATATTTTAACAAACAAACATTAAAAGTAGAGCCTCCGTGGTTCATATATGCAGAAGGAATATCTCGGATCCATTTTGGTTTCAACGAATAAGGTGCTAATTAATACTATTCAATTATCGATCTAGTAGAGAGGGTTTAACGTGGAATTAATATAACCACCCAAAGATAATGTAGCTGTTAAATATTTTTCTTTTTAAATTACCTACCATCGAAACGTACTTCAAGAATTCGAACAAAAAATAATGTTGAGGGGCCTTATCAAATAACTCCAAACTAATTATAAATTATTTACCTAATTAAGCATTTCGAAAGACAAAAACTTTAGAGATCCCTCCGTCAAGTGTCACCAAAAAATTCAAACCAAGGCAAGTGGTACTAGCGGTGCTTTCGTGGTTGAGAAATCGTTTTATTGGTCGAGACCGAGGGTCGAGTTTCACAATACAACATTTTATAGAGATATATAGCCTTTTTTTTTGTCGATATATATAGCCTTAATGGTTCAACTTCAAAACGACATTTTAGAAATTCCAAAAATAATTTTTTTTTTCTCACTGGAAGATTGATTATATTGATAAGAAGAAACAAAGAGGGTTACATGGTGTGAATTGCAAGACCAAAGAGAACCTAAATAAACACAAGAGAAAGCAATGATCAAACCATAACCTACAAAGAGATGAGGATGGTTTTACAATGACACATTGATAATATCATAAACTTTGATACGAGTCTTTTACATGATCACCGAAAAGAATTTCCGCACAACAAGAAGAAGGTATGAAGACGGGTTGTGACTCATTTGGCGATAACTCGAACACGAAGCCTAATAATCTCTGAAAATGATGAATCTCTTTTTAGGAATTGCTTTTATCAAGATGACCATGTAGAGAAACCGATAACAGCAATAACCTTTCAAATGCCACACTAATGTAACCAACTTAGCTATGCTTAAACCCGCACCCAAACGAAGACCAAAAGCCCTATCAACAGACAAAGAACAAAGGATATAGCCGTGATAGAGAAGTCGAGCCCCAACGAGAGAAGTGAAACCCAAATGAGGGGAGTTGTAATCCCAAAAACTGCAAAACACCAATTGAAGGAAAGGGATCTAGAATAAGGATAAAGCGATCAACGAGAAGAGAAAGTGGTTCTATAACCTTCAAAACCAGGGGTCGAGAAGGAGAGATACGACAATCCTTTCCACCACTACCAATCAGAGACAAACCCAATGGGAACCAACCAAGAAAAATAGATCTATAGGCGAAATAGTCTAATCGAGTTTCGTCCAAACCCTAAGATCTAAAGATCTCAGATCTGAAAAATTATTCACCGACAGAACCACAAACCTGAAAAGAGCCCAAAGGCTTGGGATTGAGACACTGCACAACCACCAATCTGACGAGATCAACCATCCAAAGCTATAGTTTCCTTCACCGCCTTATCCCAGAACAATAGATGAGACACCCCTCAACGGCGAGTCGAAATCAGTCATGGCGAAGAGAAGATAAAAGACCGGAAATTAAAAGCAGAGGAAAGGGCACGACGCCGGAAAAGGGCTCCGACGCTGGCCAAGTTTAGCAAAAAAATCTCATTTTTTATCGCATGTTTTTTAGAGAGAGAAAATGGATCGCTAACTATTAATCTTATCACTCAACTATCCAAAATTAATTTAAACTTTTCTTTTTTTGAACAATTATAATAAACTAAATTCAAACCATTTTGCTTGGAAGCTATCCATAAATTTTAATTCAATAAATCGAATATAACATAAATAACTGAGTTTTTAGCGAAATTTTAAGAAATACCACTTTTGAAGTGCCACTTTTCAAAAATGCTACTTTTTCAAAATCTTTGTAAAAATGTTACTTTTTCAAAATTATTTTTTNNTTATATCATTTATGTTTGGATTAACTATGTTGTATTAGGGGTTATGAGGTTTTAGGGGTCAAAACATTTTTTAGGCTTTAAAATTTTAAGATTTAGATTTTAAAAATTCATAATTGGTGGCATTTTTGCATATGGACAACCCCTAGTAATATTTTTGCAAATAAACAATCCAAAAGTCATATTTTTACAATTGTCCTGAATTTTTATATAATTTACATTCACATTCCAAAAGATTGGCTAAAAACTTCGATATTAAAAAAAATTACTTTGGATTCCCAGTCTATTTTACAATGACCAAAAATAAACGATAAAATATCTAATGTTGGGAATATGTTTCAATTATCAAATACTACTACTTACTAATGTGATAAATGGGTGTTGATTGGTCGTTTAAGTTAAAACATGATTTAAAAAATAAATAAAATGTTATTAATTCAAGTAATACACATCTACGACTATGGTTGA